GCGCCTGTTGTGTGGGGGCTCCAATCTCCTTTTCTTTCCGTGTGGAGACCAGCGCCTGTTGTGTGGGGGCTCCAATCTCCTTTTCTTTCCGTGTGGAGGCCAGCGCCTGTTGCGTGGGGGCTCCAATCTCCTTTTCTTTCCGTGTGGAGACCAGCGCCTGTTGCGTGGGGGCTCCAATCTCCTTTTCTTTCCATGTGGAGACCAGCGCCTGTTGCGTGGGGGCTCCACGAAGAGCTTGTGGTCTCGGAACGGCATGTCGCAGCCACCAAACAAGCCCTGCGCTGCGTGGAAACCGCTCTTGCAGCTTCCTGCATGGGAGCCATAATGAGAGGCTTTGTTCCGAGTAGTTAAGACGTGTCTGCCAAAGCTTTCAGTGACGGGGCACGTGTGCATGGCCAGGAATGTTTTCCTACAGCCCTTGGCCTTTCTCTTCATCCTGCATATCTGGTACAGCTGTATCAGCTTGCGGAAGGAATTGTATTTTTGGTATAGCGTTCCTTATTGTTTGTGGTGGAAACAGCTTTTGCAGTCAAATGAGTAAAAGTGGAATCCTATATGAGTGTAGGCAGAAAAAACGGTCAGCATAGCTACTGGAATGTGCTGGGGGCGTAGCCTTTTTTGTCTAAACTTGCAAAGGGTTCTGCCTTAAGTAACTATACATATATACGTTCCTCTTTCTTCACTGGGATCCAAAAGATTACCTTAAAAACGACCATTGGCCGGTGCGTCACAGTTTCTGCGTGGCTGTTTTCCAGGAATGCCTTTCATCGGAATTCTGCAGGCCGCTTGGTTTCTTGCGCTGCTCTGCCTTCACTTGCGTTGTGCTTACTTGATTTCCCTTTTGTTTTTGCAGGCCAGAAATGTGCACACTGGAGAGCTGGCAGCAGTAAAAATTATCAAGCTAGAACCAGGTAAGCCCTTCCGTGCCTTGCCTGCAGAAGAGTTATGCCCTTCACAACCTGTCCTTCACATCCTTATTTCAAAGAACGCTGGGCAGTTTCCCCTTTGTTGTTGCTGTTAGTTGCTTATTTGTGTCCAACCCATCACGACCCCATGGACAACTTTCCCCCAGGCCTTCCTGTCCTCCACCATCCCCTGGAGTCCACCCAAGCCCCCACCCACCCCAGTGACCCCATCCAGCCACCTCATCCTCTGCCGTCCCCTTCTCCTTTTGCCATCTATTGTTCCCAGCATTAGGCTCTTCTCCAGGGAGTCCTTCCTTCCCATTAGGTGGCCAAATACTTTGGCCACCTAATGGGAAGGAAGGACTC